CAGCCCCCGCTCGCACCCAAAACCCAAAACCCTAAAACCCTAAACCCCGAAACCCCGAAACCCCGAAACCACTAAACCCTAAACCCCTAAACCCCAAAACCTAAAACCCTAAAACCCCAAAACCCTAAAACCCTAAACCCTTAACCCCACCCCCAAAACCCGCTTAATCCCCTAATCTCCTAAAGCCCTAAAGCCCTAAGTAAGCCCAACGATCAAAACCCTGACGAGTTGCGGCGTGGGGTTGCCTTACCGGTGCCTATGGGGGGAGAAGTGAATGTAGGCATCCAACATGGGGGGGGGGGGTACGCTTGGGAAGTAGTATAGGGATACTTGGGGCACGCTTGGGAAGTAGCATAGGGATACTTGAGGGGGGGGGGGGGGGGTACGCTTGGGAAGTAGTATAGGATGCATGGGGGGGGGGGGGGCGCTTGGGAAGCAGTATCGGGAGTGTTGTAGGGCTCAGGTACGACGCGCAGGGCACATCTGGAGATCCCATCTCGGGATCTTGATTTGACGTAGGGCTGGGGGATGCAGAGGCACATTCATACCGTGTTTCGAGAACTGTATATGTATACACCTATCTATAGCTATGACCTTCTTTTTTTGTATCTACACGCAACTATTTCTCGCAGTACGTAACTGTGTAATTACGAACTTTAAAATAAATACATGAAGCTATATATAGCTATAACAAAAAGTACAAATAAAACTATCTACATATGATTCATGAATTGGAGCCACCCCCCAAGCCGAAGGTGCCCTGCCTGAAGGCGACTTTCATCTCCCTCGCGCGCATCCTCCAGCAGATTCTAAGGGAGCTGCCAGGGTAGAGGGGATTCGTTCGGGTTTAGGGTTTAGGGTTTAGGGTTTAGGGTTTAGGGTTTAGGGTTTAGGGTTTAGGGTTTAGGGTTTAGGGTTTAGGGTTTAGGGTTTAGGGTTTAGGGTTTAGGGTTTAGGGTTTAGGGTTTAGGGTTTAGGGTTCGGGTTTCGGGTGTAGGGAAAGAACAGCGGAAGGATCTAGGGTTTAGGGTGTTGAAAGGTCGGTCGTCTTCCCAAACAGACTGCAGCGAAATCTAGGTGCCCGTAATGGCGTGTCACTTGAACGTTTCGAAACCATGGCGGACCCGACAAGCAGAACCATCAAGCCCCCCCCCCCCCCCCCCCCCCCCCCCCCCCCCCTCCCCTGGCCTTAACCCTCAAGACCCTACGGGCCTGAACGCCTAATACAGGAACTCACTTTTGGAGGTTGTAGGGCCATTCAGCCAAAGAACACATCCATTGTGAATGCATCCAGGGTTGAGAGTTTAGGGCTTCGGGTTTAGGGAAATCCAATACACAGCACCCTGAAGCCAATCAACCGTCTGAAATTACCCTGAAACCCTAAACGCCAAACCCTAAACCCCTAAACCCCCCCCGCCCCCCTGGCCATTTGCCTGGACTCGCTTCCGAAGAGCGTCGATTTCCTCTCAGCAGGTCGCTTCTCTCAACACAGGCTCCTGGTGTACAGACACACACACACAGACACAGGTGGTGGGTTCGCATGTGTTGAGGGTTTAGGGTTTTAGGGTTTTAGGGTTTAGGGTTTAGGATAAGGTTGGCTTCTGGGGCTTCCAGGAAGGCCTCGCGAGTTTTCATGGCTGCTTCGCATTAATAAGCCTATAGTAAGATGCCACAGGCCATCCCAGATGTGGAAGGGGCTGGCAGGCCTTTTTCAAAGAACTCTATGGGTAGACGAAACCTAGTGCAAGCTATCCATGCAGTGAGGGCTGCTCTGTTATGCCCTTTTCTTTCTGTGCACTCGATCATTAAAACCCTAAACCCTAAACCCCTAAACCCCTAAACCCTTAAACCCCTAAACCCTAAACAGGATGGTTGCTTCGCACGCCAAGAAGATGCGTCCTCCTTGAGAGGGCTCAACTCGGCTTGGAAGCCGCCTTAGCCCAAGGGCATTGCGAGTTGGCTCTGACAGGGTTGTCCCCCTACTTGGGAGTAGACCCTGGAAAACAAGTATATACCTTTTAGGTATAAGTAGCTATAGTGGGAACCAAGAACCAGAAAAAGTATCAAAGCATAGTACTCGAACACCCAGTTTAGGGTTTAGGGTTTAGGGTTTAGGGTTTAGGGTTCTTGTTTTCAGGTCTTTTTTAGCCCTGGCACCCAAGAGCCTGAGCATTAAACCGAACCCGAAACCTTTAAGCCCCAGTAGCGCAGTGCACACCGAATGCACACCAGGTTTAGGGTTTAGGGTTGAGGGTTGAGGGATTTGGGATGGGCCCACACATGAAAAACCCAGAGGAGCCAGGGCCCTGGCGCTTTGCAGTCATGAGCCTGCCACCAGCGGCGATTGGGGTTTCGGGTTTAGGGTTTAGGGCAACGTTCTCAAGCTAGCAAGGGCCCTTGGTGCGGACCCTTGCTGTTAAAGCACTTATAGGGTTTAGGGTTCAGGACGTACCACTTCTACACTAGATGAACAGGACATGCACCGATGTCAAAGTTGCTAACTGCATTCAAGGACTCATCCACCACAGCTGCAACAAACTATCCCACGCAGGAGCTTCCTCAAACTGATGCGTGGGGATCAGCTACGGACGCGGTCTTCCGACAAGCACGACTGCGACTTCCGATTCTTGTGGGGGTTACAAGATGGTAAACTTGGTAGCCCAGTAAGCATTTTTTTCAGGGCACCCTTTTTTTGGGTTGGTTTCTTGACAAGGGAACTTTGAACCCAAAAAAGTAGGGATAAAGGGCACCACTGGGCTGCCCAAGGAGGCTCACAAAGGGCGCGCCTTGCAGCAAGCTCCCCGACTTCTTTTTGGAGGTGCTCCAGCCTCAAAGCCGTGGTTTGCTTCGATGTGGAAGGTATCAGTCCATAGCACCCAAAAAGGACACTCAAGGTATCAAGTCTGTGGCCCCCCCCGCCCCCCCCCAACCAAAAGAGACGCAAAGGCATCAAGTCTGCATCGCCCCCGCCAGTGCAACCTCACCCCAAAGACTCGTAGCTGCTCTGACATAGTTTGCTGGACCGAGGAGTAGCCTAGGAAGGAAAAAGAGTACCCTGTTTGGCTTTAAGGGGATTCAAAGGGAACCCCAACCCAAAACAGGCCTGCTCCGAGTCCTAGTTTGTGAAGGCACAGCATGCATGTGTTTGTTGCACCGGTGGACGTTTCCGAGTCGAATTCAGGCGGGAAGTCGGGCAGGAGGGGCCGAATCGCTGCGGGCGGGGGGCTGGGGGTGGGGGTACAGTAGTTGTACTTCAGGATGCGCACACTAGGGATAGTCGACAATCAATCCTTCTAGAAGCTTTTGACTCGGGGTCCAGACAGGACGGGCGTAGACTTGAGACCAGACAAGGCTGAAGGGATGCTTCACATGCGAGGAGCAGATTTGCAACGGGGGGTTGCGACCCCTCACTATTTGATGATGACGACGGTGACAATGACGATGGCGACGATATTGGTGGTAACGACGAAAACCCTGACCGCGAAACTGACGAGGCAACCCTAGACTCTAAACTTCAGCAGGCAAGCTGCCACGCTCCCCGACACCCAAATAAAACCTCCCCAATGCCCAAGCCCGCTCCACCCATCCACCCCCCCCCCCCCAAAAAAAAAAAAAAAAAAAGAACAGCCCCCTTAACCAGAAAACCTAAGCCCATCTAAGCCTCAAAGTGCCGTGGCCCAAATCTCTACAAACCCACCTTCCCCCCATGCAAACCTGCCCCCTGGAACCCTAGACCCTAGACCCTAAACCCGCCCCTGGGGCCACCCGCTGCGCTGCGCGGCTTTGCTGGAGGCGGTGCTGGAGGTCCGTGACCTGCCCCGACCTGCACTTGGAGGTTCATGGTACTTAAGGGTTTAGGGTTTAGGGTTTAGAGCTACTACTTGGAGGTTCTTGGTACGTATAAACCAACAACAACTGTACTTATATCTGTACTTATAACCATATTTGGCACTTACAGGGCTTATATGTGGGTTATGAGGAATTACAGTTTATACTTGGTGAGTAGGTACCATGAACCTTCAGTGCTGGGGTGCTGGAAGCTCTCGCCGGAACTCTTTGACTCCAACAACTTTGTAAGGTTTTTTCTAACTTATACTAACAGTCCTTCATACGGATTGTGGTACCCTCCTATTACAATCCCTATTAAGGACTGTTAGTATCAGGGGGAACATCCCAAGTATTTTCTTATAAAGCTTTCGCGTGGCGGATCGCGTTGTGGATCCCCTTCAAGGATCGGATGAGCTAGGAAACATCTTAGCAGCCCCAGTAACCATATTATAATAAGGGCACCTTTTTTTTGGGTTGGTTACTTTATAAGGAACCTTGAACCCCCCAAAAAAGGGAAAAGGGTACCACTGGGCTGCCAAGACATTCTACACATCCTGCCCGTGTTGAGTGGAATCTCAGCATGGTCGACCTACTCGACACACACACACACACACCAATCCACTGATACTAGAACATCCTGTGAAACGCGCTTCGGAGGTGTATTTCCCCCTGATCGTGGAGCAGCCCATTCGAGAAACAGCTTCGTGCCTGAGCTCAGCAACTATATCTTTGCTAGATGCTTGCTCAGACTTTGTCACGTATCACTCCAGAAACCTTGGCCACACACACGAGATGTAATCTACTCGTGTCTACCTCGACTCCTGACTCGGAAGGTCTTTCCTAGGTCCTTGCTCCAGTCTCTCAAGGCCTGCAGATGCACGGGGAATGTCGCCCGACCAGCAAACTATTGACACGTGTGCATCGAATACTTCTAAAGCCTCGAGACCAGAACTTCAAACGCTGAATAAAGAAACTCAAGGGACTAAAGGAGGGACCCTTATAAGGGACCTTCGGGGTTGTTTGGGGGTTTTTTAGGGGCTACTTAGGTAGAAAGGGCCCAAACAAAAGGAGATATAGGGGTTCTATAGGGGAATAAGGTTCAGGATACCTTCATTCTTGGGTCCCTCCTTATACCCCTGAAGAAACCCTAAACCCCAAACCCTAAACCTTCCCTACTCCAAACCCATCCGCTTCGCATCACAGAGAAGGGTTCGACACGAGGCAGCGGGCGCCGGCGTTGCCTTGAAGGGGACTGAAGGAGGGACCCTTAGAGAGTCCCTAAACCCTCAACCCTAAACCCTTCAATTAAGGAAACTTAGGGTTGATGCAGGAGCTACGAAGACATTTAGGGACTATGTAAGGTATATATCGGGGTTTTGTTTATAGGGGAAGAAGATTACAGAAATTGAGGGTTCTTGCAGGGGTCCCTCCTTATGCCTGGTTGTAGAAGATCAGGAACCATTGCAGTACGGAAAACATGCCAACGGACAAGGTCCACAGCAGCCATGTGGGAGTTGCGCCGCTCGTGCCGAGCGCCACTGCGTTGCCCCCATTTATGCCCAGCAGCGCGAAGGCATAAAAGTATGCAAGAAAGGTGCTCGCTGCCGCAAAGCAGGCGTGCGCGCAAGGCGATCGTGTGCGTTTGAAGCCCCAGTGTTGTGCATGTAGGATACATGGGAAGATGATGGTCAATGACAAGCAGCTGAAGAACATCGTATCAATGTCCACGAGTAGGAGGGTCCTGAAGGAGTCAAAGCCTTCCGCCTTAAGTGCAGCAGCACATCCGCCCAGTCCATCGCAATCCAAGAAGCATGAGGAGCAAATGTAGAAGAAGAAGGGTGCAAATGCCTGCGTGCAGACCGACAGCGGCAAACTTGTGGCACTGCCAGATTGCCGTATGATTTCGGTGCGCAACGGTCCTCGGACTTCCATGTTGAAAGCGTCCAAGCTCTCCTCTTGGCTAGGATAGCTTGTTAGGCCACGGATAACAGGGTCTCTGATGATCTCCGCGTGGGCCAATAGCTGGTCACTGTCCTGTCTGCTAACAGCAGCTGCAGCAGCGACCTCTGGCACCTCCACAGCCACAGATATCCTTGGTTGCTCTTTGACCCCCCCAATAAAAGTTCAACTTCTAGCTCCCTTAATATGAAATTAGAGGAACCCCAAGACTCAGAAAATGCGAAAGTTGTAGTAAAGTCCCACCTAGTATCGGTAAGTCGTCAATTTCATCGTACAGCTGGGCAATCGTTGCCTCAATGATGGGCCGATCTGCGCCGACTGTGCACTTGGCGTAGCGCACGTCGAAAGAAGCAAGCCGCTCCAACATCTCTCCATGCTGCTTCAGCTTCATTGAAAACGAAATTGCCGCCGCAACTCCCGCTGGGAGGTAAGCACATCCCGTAACTAGAGTGTATAAAAGCACCCGCAGCAGAGCTTCCAGGTGCGGATAGGAAGCGGGCAGTGGCAGATTTAGAAAAAAGCCCTGTGCCCAACCCAGAAGACGAAAAACGAGGCATCGAACGCTCACCCAGTCGAAGAGCACGGCAAGGAGTAGCCAGGGCGGAAGCCACAGCGGCAACACGACAAGGTGGCGGCCGGACTGGTACTTCAAGAAGACAGCCAGCTCCATGTTGCAGAACAGGCGCTCAAAGTAGGTCGCGTCCCATAAAACGAGCCTAGACTCCACTTAGAACCTTCATAAAAATGATATTGTTAAAATCCTCTTGGGTTTTAAATATAAACAAAATTATAGAACAGTTCCAAAGGGGGATGTAGGAGCATGGTGGAACATCGCTGCACGAAATCCGGCAAAGCCCTGACGTACTTCTCCTTGATGGCCTCATCTCCTCCACACTTACCCTTAAGACCTTAAGAAAAAGAGTCCGTTGGAACTTTAGGGTTTAGGGTTTAGGGTTTACAATACACAATACTTCCTAAGGGTGGCTTTATATAGTCCTTGCGGAATGCACAGCTTGTCCACCCAGATGGATGGGGAAAGGCATCCACAGGTCAGGACGTGGCCGAAGAAGAACCTACACTCCCTCTTAGAACCTGAAGAAAAATCATAATACTTGGTTTAAGGTTTAGGGTTAAGAATGATAGTAATAATATTACTGTTAATCTGAATGTTCCCTTGGATTTTTATAACTAAAAACAAAAAATAACTCCTACGAAGGCTTTAGGAACATCAGGAAAAAGACCGTCAAGGGCAAGTCCACGGTCAGCGGGTAAATCAAGGGGCTGCCTGCCAACTGTGAGACGCTGCCCGCATGCAAAAGCAACATGACGGCTGCCGCCGCATAGGTGAACATGGATGCAGTCACCGCCAGCGTGTAGTTCAGATGATAGCCTAGACCCAGGAGTAGCCTAGAAATAAAAAAGGGTGCCCTTTTTCGTTTAAAGGGGTTGATAGGGGAACACAAGTACTAAAAAAGGGAATGAGGGCCTACTCTGGATCCTAGCAGCAAAGCCCCAAGGTCTTCTGCCATCGCCCTGCGGACCAGGATTGGCTCACGAAAAGATCGACTCGAGGGGCTTCCTGGCCCGGTGGAGACCGGTCCCCGGCGGAGCAGTCCTAGGGCCCAACAGTACCCGACGAAGCAAGAGGGAGCCTATAGGAATAAGAGGGGAGCCCTTTTGGGTTAACAGGGGTTTTATCAGGCCGACCCCCCCCCCCCCCAAAAAAAAAAAAACAAAAAAAAAATAAATATATATATATATAGGTATATATATATATATTAATAAAATTAAAAAAGAAAAGAAAAGAACAAGGACACCCTAAACCGTAGACCCTAAACCTTAAACCCTAAACAGCAAGCACCAGTCTGAGTCCTAGAATCCCCCCGCTCCACGGCGAAAACCTGGCCAAGCCCGTCGAGGACCTGCCAGGAACTCACCGCACGGAGCCCGCGGGTCGGGAGGTGACGGAGCTCTGTGTGAAACCTTGGTAGCGCAGCATGCAGTTTAGGGTTTAGGGTTTAGGGTTTAGGGTTTAGGGTTTAGGGTTTAGGGTTTAGGGTAGCTCTCTATCTTCTTAGGGTAGTTCCATGGTCCCTTAATATGGGCCCTTAAACGCGGTTTACCCTATACAACCCAAGGGTCCAGACTTCAGAACGCCTTAAAGGAGGTAAGGGACCCTAGAAGGGCCCATGAAACCCCTAAACCCTAAACCCTAAACCCTAAACCCTAAACCCTAAACCCTAAACCCTAAACCCTAAACCCTAAACCCTAAACCCTAAACCCTAAACCCTAAACTACCCTTAGATATCTACTTGGCTGACTTCGGAAGCCCTCCTAAAAGTTTAACTTTTAGGCTCCTTATAGTAGTTGCTACAGAAACCAAAAAGTTAAAGTCCGAAGAGCCAGCCAGAAGAAAGCCAAGTCTAGACCAGGAGTAACCTAGGAATAAAACAGGGTGCCCTTTCTGGGTTCGAGGGTCTTTTAAGGGAACCTAAACTCCGAAAAAAAAGGAATAAGGGCCTACTCTGGACTCTGGGTCCTAGATATTAAAATGAGAGGCAGCCTTTTTGGGTTGGCTACCCTAAACCCTAAACCCTAAACCCAAAAAAGGCAAAAGGGTACCACTGGGCTACCAAGAAACAAGTGCGTTGCGACTGCCATTCACGGAGCACGGTGACTATAGGCAGCGTGGTCAAAAGGATGATGGGCTTTGTTGGGTTTAGGGTTTAGGGTTTAGGGTCTAGGGTTTAGGGTTTAGAATCATTTCCTAGCCGCTTCAACCACACTACGAACTGGAACGCAGACATCAAAGATGCCTTGAGCCGTCGCTTCAAAACTTCCATCCTACTAGGGACCAAAAGATGATTGAAAGAACATTCCTGCTTCGAATCCCCCTTTCATGCCTAAACCCCAAAACCCCTAAGCCCTAAACCCAACAAAGAAACCCTAAACCCTAAACCCTAAACCCTAAACCCTAAACCTAAACCCCATCCCAGGGCACCTGTTCTAGCTCGAAAGTGGCCTTCAGCTCCGGAACTCTGGCTACAGGTTGGCTTCTCATGTCGCACAAAATCTCAATTTTTCAAAGAGAACCATGTAATCTTTATCAAAACAGACATTCATTTCGCGAATTTCCTGGGTGCCATATTCCGTTGATGTTTTGCTTTGAAAAAGCCACTCAGTCAGCCCAGAAAGGTTTAGTGTTTAGGGGTTAGTTTTGCTGTTTAGGGTTTAGTGAGTTTAGTGTCTAGGGTGTAGTGTTGTGTTTAGGGTTTAGGGTCTAGTGTTTAGGGTTTAGTGCTTAGGGTTTCGTGTTTACGTGTTGAGGGTTTATTACTAAGGGCTTGGGGTTAAGTTTTAGGGTTAGTGTTTAGCGTGGGTTTCGTGCCAAGCCTGTAAAGATCTGTTCGCCCTAAACACACCAAACCAACAAACCCATAGAAACCCTAGGCCCTAAACCCGTAAAAGCCCTAAGCCCTCAAAACACCAAAACAATACTCCCGTAGAAGCCCTAAACCCGTAGAAACCTTAAACCCGCAAAAGCGCTAAACCCTCAAAACCCTAAAACAATTACAGAAGCCCTAGACCCGTAGAAACCCTAAACCCCTAAAAGCCCTAAAGCCTCAAGACCGCAAAGCAATGTACCCGAAGAAGCCCTGAACTAGTAGAAGCCCTAAACCCCATAGAAACCCTCAGCCCTAAACCCGTAGAAACCCTAAACCCCAAAACGCCCTAAGCCCTAAAACCCCAAAGCAACATTCACCTAGAAGCCCTGAACCCCCAGAAGCCCTCAACTCTCAAAACCCCAGACAATACACACGTAGAAACCCTAAACACCTAAAGCCCTAAGCCCTCCAAACCCCGAAACAATATTTCCGTAAAAGCCCTGAACCCTCAAAACTCCCCAAAACAGCATACCCTTAGAAGACCTAAACACGCAAAAACCCTGAAACCCTAAAAGCCCCAAACCCTCAAAATCCCCAACAGAAACACACCCGTAGAAACCCAAAACCCACAAAAACCTAAACCTTATTTTAACCCAAAACCCCTAAAAACCCTAAACCCGAACGCCAAAGGGAGATTCATTCATGAAGGCTTTATTATCATTATTATAATTCATTTCTTTTGGGGGGGGGGGGGGGTGGGGGGGGCCGGGGCGGGGTTTTGGAGGGTGATAGGGTTTAGGGCGTGCAGGCGTTCTAGGGTTCGGGATTCTGGCTCTTTAGGAACCTATGACCCCCATTGTCCTTGAAGAGAAGAAGGGCACCACAGCATTCCAGTTTCTTTTCTAGCATTTGAACATGTTTTTTTCTGTTATATTTCTGACACGAAGAAAGCCCATTTCAAGGAATAAGCTATGATCTTCAAAACCTATTTTATAAATCGACTTAGATACAGTCCACTTAAAATAGACGAATCGTCAGGACATAGGCCGGAGAAAAAAGAAGATAATTGTCAGGAAAAATGCTAACCTTGGCTTAGAGGAACAACTTTGCGCCTGAGCCCTTCAACCATCTCTCTGCTAGATGCTTGCTCATACTTTGTCTCGTCTCGCTTCAGGAATCTTGGCCACACAAGCACCCTAAACCCTAAACCCTAAACCCTAAACCCTAAACCCTAAACACATGTCTACCTCGAATCCCAGTGCCTGCACTGGACTCGGAAGGTCTTTCCTAGTGTCCTCCTCGGCCCTTGCAACAGGTTCTCTGTCTTACTTCTCCAATAACCAAGGGAAAAAAGGTTAAACTTTATGACTCCTACTAACCCTAAACCCTAAATCCTAAACCCTAAACCCTAAACCCTAAACCCAGAAAGTTTAAAGTTCAGCTGTTGGAGAAGTGAGCCTGGAGCGACCGGCAAACTAGCGACACGTGCGGCTGTAGGATACGTGGAACCTCAAGCCCAGAACTTTTCAAAGGCTGGAACAAAGTTTAGGGTTTAGGGTTTAGGGATTATTTTAATTACTTCAAAGATCCCCACCCTCTCTGGGTAGAGATAACCTGGGGTTGGGCACTCCAGGGACACTCTGCATGGGAGACCGGGCGAGGAGAAGAGTTCTGGGCGAGGAGAGGAGTTGAGGTTAAAATCTAATTAACAACCCCACACCGAGGGTGGGGAACAACCATCCCTACTCCATACCCGTCGGCTTCGTATCACAGATCAGGGCTCGACACGAGGAAGCGGGCGTCGGCGTGCCCTGGTTGTAGAAGATCAGGAACCATTGGAGTGCGGAGAACGCGCCAACGGACAGGGTCCACAGGAGCCATGTGGGAGTTGCGCCTCTCGTGCCGAGCGCCACTGCGTTGCCCCCATTGATGCCCAGCAGCGCGAAGGCATAGAAGTATGCCAGAAAGGTGCTCGCTGCCGCGAAGCAGGCGTGCGCGCAAGGCGATCGTGTGTGTTTGAAGCCCCAGTGTTGTGCATGTAGGATGCATGGGAAGATGATGGACAATGACAAGCAGCTGAAGAACAGATTAGCAATGTCCACGAGTATCAGGGTCCTGAAGGAGTCAAAGCCTTGTGACTTGAGTGCAGCAGCACATCCTCCCAGTCCATCGCAATCCAAGAAGCATGAAGAGCAGATGTGGAAGAAGAGGGGCGCGAACGCCTGCATGCAGACCGACAGCGGCAGACTTGTGGCGCTGCCAGATTGCCGTATGACTTCGGCGCGCAACTGTCCTCGGACTTCCATGTTGAAAGCATCCAGGCTCTCCTCTTGGTCAGGATAGCTTGTCAGGCTCCGGATAGAAGGATCCCTGAGGATCTCCGCATTCGCCAACAGCTGGGCACTTTCCTGCCTGCTAACAGCAGCAGCAACCTCCGGCGCCTCAACAGCTGCAGATATCCTTGGTTGCCCTTTAACCCCCCAATAAAGGTTCAACTTTTAGCTCCCTTAATATGAAACTAGAGGAACCCCAAGACTCAGAAAGTGCGAAAGTTGTAGTAAAGTCCCACCTAGTATCGGTAAGTCGTCAATTTCATCGTACAGCTGGGCAATCGTTGCCTCAATGATGGGCCGATCCGCGCCGATTGTGCACTTGGCGTAGCGCACATCGAAAGAAGCAAGCCGCTCCAACATCTCTCCGTGCTGCTTCAGCTTCATTGAAAACGAAATTGCCGCCGCAACTCCCGCCGGGAGGTAAGCACATCCCGTAACGAGAGTGTATAAAAGCACGCGCAGCAGGGCTTCCAGGTGCGGATAGGAAGCGGGCAGTGGCAGATTCAGAAAAAAGCCCTGTGCCCAACACAGAAGACGAAAAACGAGGCATCGAACGCTTACCCAGTCGAAGAGCACGGCCAGGAGTAGCCAGGGCGGAAGCCATAGCGGCAACACGACAAGGTGGCGGCCGGACTGGTACTTCAAGAAGACAGCCAGCTCCATGTTGCAGAACAGGCGCTCAAAGTAGGTCGAGTCCCATAAAACGAGCATGGTGGAACATCGCTGCACGAAATCCGGCAAAGCCCTGACGTACTTCTGCTTGATGGCCTCATCTCCTCTATACTTACCTTAGGACCTGAAGAGAAAGAGTCCGTTGGGTTTTTCAATAACAATACACAATACTTCCTAAGGGTGGCTGTATATAGTCCTTGCGGAATGCACAGCTTGTCCACCCAGATGGATGGGGAAAGGCATCCACAGGTCAGGACGTGGCCGAAGAAGAACCTACACTCCCCCTAGAAACTTAATAATAAAAGAATATAGAATTATGGTACTACTACTGTTCTTAATATTCCATTATCAAAACAATAGCAATATCAAAAACGACTAGTCTTTTTGATATCCCCCTGGGTTTTTTTTTATGACTACAAACAACAAACATCTCCGAAGGGGGCTTTAGGAACATCAGGAAAAAGACGGTCAAGGGCAAGTCCACGGTCAGCGGGTAAATCCAGGGGCTCCCTGCCAACTGTGAGACGCTGCCCGCATGCAGAAGCAACATGACGGATGCCGCCACATAGGTGAACATGGATGCGATCACCGCCAGCGTGTAGTTCAGATGATAGCCTAGACCCAGGAGTAGCCTAGAAATAAAAAAAGGGTGCCCTTTTTGGCTTAAAGGGGTTTATAGGGGAACACAAACCCTAAAAAAAGGGAATGAGGGCCTACTCTGGATCCTAGCAGCAAAGCCCCAAGGTTTTCTGCCATCGCCCTGCGGACCAGGATTGGCTCACGAAGACATCGACTCGAGGAACTTCCTGGCCCAACGAAGACCTTTGCAGCCCAGTAACCGTACTATAATAAGCGCACCCTTTTTTGGGTTGGTTACATTAGAAGGAACCTTGAACCCCCAAAAAAGGGGAAAAGGGTACCACTGGGCTGCCAAGAGACCAGTCCCCGGCGGAGCAGTCCTCGGTTGAAGAGTAGCCCGAGGGAAGCAAAAGGGAACCTAGAAGAGGACTAAAAGAGGGAACCCTTTTGGGTTTGAAGCGGGTTTTGTGAGGGAACTCAACCCCCCCCCCCCCCCCCAAAAAAAAAAAAAAAAAAAAAAAAAAAAAAAAAATAAAATAAACACCCTAAAACGTAGACCCTAAACCCTAAACCCTAAACTCTGAGTCCTAGAATCCCCCTGCTCCACGGCGAAGACCTGGCCAAGCCCGGCGAGGACCTGTGAGGAACTCGCTGCCCGGAGCCCGTGGGTCGGGAGGTGACGGAGCTCTGT